TTGTATCCGTATAAATTTTTTTGCAGAAATGTATTAAAAAATATTTTAAGTGAGATTGTTTTAAGTTTATAGAACTTTGTGGTTATCGACTACATAACACTTTTAGACATATATCAAGAAGTTTAATGGTTAAAGTTTAAACTAAAGGAAAAATCAGTTTGAAGATACCTGGTACCGGGTACTGCAACAAAATGGCCGATACCGGGTACCCGGTAAAAAAGCCGAATTGCCGGGTCCGAACCGGGTACCCGGCACATCACTAATATTAATTAGAAGCAAAATTGAATAAATCTGGATCATTATAGTTGCAAATGATAAAAAAATATTTAATTGGTTGCGAGTACAGACCAAGCGAACAAGTAGATATGCTTGAAATGAGTCAAATATTCACAGAAGCTTGTAAATTAGTAGAAAAAAATAATTTTGCAGATTTGTTAGTTGTTGATGATTTTAATTTTCCAAATGTAAAATGGTCGAATGGATACATTAGTGATATTTTAGTAGGTGAAGATTCTGTTGAAAATGAATTTATTAATATTATATATGAATGTTTTTTGTACCAACACGTATCAATCCCAACCTTTCAAAATGCACAATATGTTACAAAAAATACCTTTATATCTTATTTTTACAAAAAAAAATGAACAAGTCTATCAACTTGAGTCTAATCCAGTTCTAGGAAATATAAATCATGGACATTTGGTTTTAACTTGTAAATTTAACCTTGATGCTATTGCAATGGAAAATTATCCAAAGTATAAATTTGATTACAGTAAATGTGACTATCCACAAATAAGCCTAAGTATTGATAAAATTGACTGGAATTATTTATTTGATGGGTTATCAGTTCAATTTATGTATGATCTGTTTATTGAAAAAATTAGTCAATCATGTAATGCTTTTATTCCAATAATTGACATAAATTCAAGAAAGAAAAGAAAAAATAATCCATGGTTTACTGATGAAGTAAGTCTTCTAGTACGTTCAAAACAAAATTTGCGTTATCAAAATTCATCCTCGAACTGGAAAGATTTGAATAAAGTAATGAAATATAAAAATATTTGTAAAACTGTGAAAATAGAATCGCGTAAAGCAAGATGTAACTATGAAAATGATCTTGTTGAAAAATCAAAGGTAAATCCGAAACTGCTATATAAATATGTGAATAGTCAAAAAATGATTAAACAAGTAAATAAAGCATTAAGAGATCAAACTGGTTGCGTACCAAATGATCAAAATGAAATTGTTGAAATTTTAAATAAACAATTTCAAGATGTGTTTACCATCGAAAATTCTACAGAAGTGCTTCCACAAATCGAGAATTTAGGGGGTATTATTGATGCATTTAATATAGATTATTTTGATGTTTTAAGTAGATTGAAGCATGTTGATATCAATAAAACATATGGAGTTGATTCTATACATCCGTTGATTTTGAAAAATTGTGCAGATTTCGTAGCATTGCCATTAACTTTAATTTTTATAGAATCTTTTGTTAAAAGTGAACTGCCAACTCAATGGAGAGCAGCAAATATTACACCACTATTCAAACAGGGAGATTAATTAGAAGCTGCAAATTATAGACCAGTGTCATTGACGTCAATTACTTGTAAAATTATGGAAGGTATAGTCAGAGACTGCATACAATCATGTTTAATGAAATATAAATTAATATCGAAGTCACAACATGGTTTTGTTAAAGGGAAGTCTTGTACAACAAACTTATTAGAGGCGTTGGATTATATTTCATTTAATTTATCGATTGGTATTTCGGTAGATAAAGCACTTTTAGATTTTGTTAAAGCTTTTGATTCTGTTGCTCACAAAAGACTATTGATTAAACTATCTTCATATGGAATTAGTGGTTTATTATTAAAATGGATTGAAGCTTTTTTAAAAAACAGAATCCAAAGAGTTATCCATGGTGATGTTGTTTCTTCATGGCGCAAAGTTTTCAGCGGTGTTCCGCAAGGATCCGTAATAGGGCCCTTATTATTTGTTATCTTTATTATTGATATATCAAATATATTTAAAAATAAGTCAGAATTGTAGGCAGATGATACAAAAATTCTTTCAAAAGTGAATGAAATAAATGTGGAAAATAGCTTGCAAAAAGATCTGGATAGTGCAGAGGAATGGTCTAAAAAGTGGCTCTTGGGTTTTAATTCTAGTAAATGTGTTATAATGCATTATGGTATAAATAATCTGCGGTTGAAATATACTTTAAATGGTGTTGAACTGAAAGATTCTGAATGGAGAGAGATTTAGGTGTATATTTTTCAACAAAATTGAAATGGAAAAAACAAATTATATCAAATACTTCTAAAGCAAACTCAATGATGGGTATGTTAGAGATGACATTTTCACGAATTGATGCAAAATTGGTTAAAACATTGTATAAGGTATTTATTAGACCTCTTATTGAGTTTACAGTACCTGTTTGGTCACCTTATTTTAAAGGAGGCATATCACTTTTGGAAAAAGTTCAACACAGGATGAC